ATTGCTTAAAATATTTATATCAGCATATTCTAATGCCTCTTCTATGAATAACATAGAGTTTACTATTTCAGTTTTAGCCCATTGATTGGCATATTTAATGTTGATTAATTTTTCTTTTACAATTCCTATTCTAAATATTTCCGACACTTACCGCTAACTCGTTTTAAATATGACCATCCTTTTTAATATAATTAAATATTTCATTTGTAGCATTTACTAAACTATTAAGTTGTTTACTAAATGCCTCGTTTTATCCATACAGGAGAGTTATATAGGGACCTTGATGGTTGRATTATACCATCTTCTAATAATTTTTGTATCTGGATTCCGACCTCAGAAATTGTTTTAGTTCTATTTTTCTCCCTTTTTCTAATAAAATATAGATTTCCTTCGAATATATTATAGCTCCCATTTTCCGAAGCGTATCATTACCTAAAATTCCTTCAAATGTCTTTAACGAAGGTTTATTAGGATAAAAAATTAACATCTTTAGCATCTTCTACTGTCTCATAATTGAAATATCTAGCTGTCTATGAATTCTATGATGAACTGGTTCGGAATGAATGAAATGGTTCAAATGAATCCTTTTATCTTGTTGATCATTATTTTGTTGCGGTCTTTTGCCAACAAAGTCACTCGCTTGTGGCCTATTCATATAGTTTACTGGTCTGGTCAACGTCCATCGGTTTCGGCTTGGATTGCGGTTTAGATCCGAATGGGCGTGGTGGTGYAACTTGTTGTTGCCGATAAGATCTAGGCTTATTGTTATTTGCCCATTGTGGGTAACTTTCTTGTGGCCTAGGTAAATAGGTTAGTTCCGGATAAAATATTGGTTTATTATATCTCGTGGGCGAAACCGGTGGTGCATAATTAGTAAGGTTCCTCGTAGCTCCTTTGGTATTGTGAGCATAGTGGGGGCGGTAATTTCGATTTTCTAATTTAAGGCACAGGTGGAGTGCCTGAGGCAAGTCTACTGGCTCCCTCATGCTTAGCAAGCGAGGTAAGTCGCCCCTCAGTCCTCTAACGAAGGTGTCTAAAGCTTTGTCTCGATATGTCTGCGTTATTAGATTCATTGATTCGTGTTCTACGTCCACATAACCTAATTTATTTAAAATCAGTGATAGGTGTGTATAAACTTTCTGATAAAACTCTTGTATGGAGTTAGGCCTTGGACTAAGGATATCATCTGATATTCCAAAGTTCCTAGGTCTCGTTTATCAGCATAGTGAATAGTTAAGAATTTGGAAATAGCTTTCCAATTTAATGGGGTATGGTATGACTCAAGGTCTATGTCCGCGTTCGCTATTATTTTATTTCGTATGACACTAACTATTCCATAGTATTTTGGGAGTGACTTTAAGAGGCTCATAAATTTTGAGTGTCCGATCTACCCCTTTCTTCCAGGAACTAAACTCCCCTGAGTTTCCGCAAAATCTCCGGAACTCTGCCATACTGGCATTTGGGTTCAACACGGCTTGAACGAGTTGTTCGCCGTATTGCTAGAATAAATTTCTGACAACGTTTGTTATAGTAGCAGTTAATTGTTCTGCTGCTATATTGTGCACCTGTGCGGTGTGTTGAGTGCTAGCGGCTGCATTTTGCAGAACCGGCGGGCGTATTAAGTTATTCGGATTTGACATTTTTCTATTTAGATTTTKTTTTATTTTTTTTTTTAAATATATTTTTTCTTTTGTTTTATTTATGTTATTCTCTGGACGGTCCCTTTCACAGGAAAGTCTCAAAGTTATTGCACTGTTATACGAACCGCAGGGTCACCCGTTAAGTGGTGCATCGCGGCCCTTTTATCGCGGCCCCGTTATCGGCTGTCTAAACCCTAGTTTGTTTGGCTTTGCGGTTTATAATTCTCTGAAGGGTCCCTTTGGTAGTGAATCGCAGAGAATTGTATTTGTTAAAAGCTGGAGGGTCCCCCTGAAGGTGGTGAATCTAAACTTTTATATTGTTATTTATTATTGGCTGTAAAAGCCCCTTATGATGTGTACAAAGAAGGAAATCTATTTGGTATCCTGAAATTTCCTTTAAAAATTTTACCTCTGAACTAAACTGATTAAATTTTTATTTTTTATGGTTTCTTAACAAAAAATCATGCTTCTTATTTTATTACAGATTTGCTCTTTTAATCTTATCACTTCTTCGTAACCACAGTTTATATACATATATATAATTCTTAAGGATACTTAATTCACCAGAAAACCATGATGCACCGGCAAAGTCGATTTCTCCTTTTCTACTTTCCGCTTACTCTGGATCGTCCTTTTGCACACTTTATTATGCACCTCCTCGTCCAAGCATGGGTTGAGGATAGATGATTTCCGTTTGTCTTGGTAACCGGCTTCTCGCTTCGAAAGGTTTTTTTTATTGTTTACTCACGTGTGACTACGTGTTGTCACTTACGTTCTTTCGATTTTCGCGACCGGTCCCTGCTCGGGAGCTAGTTTTCTCCCTACGCACTGGGAGGATTTTTGTTTTTTTCTTGGAGACGAGCTCCGTTCTTTATTCGATGCAACGAAAATACAAAAAGCTTCTTACAATTAACTGTTACTTCTATTTATACAATATTTTATGACTTAGTTCTATATTATATGTTGTTGCAGGTTTGTCACCTGCGCTGCGCTGATAAGCAAAAGGTCGTCAGCGGAAGTCCATTTCCGCAAGAGCACTAATTTAAGTGAAGTTGGCGATTTCGTAATAACAGTTATGCTTTTGTTTAGTCAGCTTGGGAACCGAATTAATTATTATATTAAATTTTAGAGTTTAGGGTATATATATATAATAATATGCCCCCGCAACCAAATTATCACAACACACACTCGCACTTAAATAAACACCCACAAGATAAAAAAGACTGCACTTACCCAGATGCAATGTTGGTACAGCATGCCTTTTTAGAATTTTTGGGCCAATTGCCTCTTTTTCGAAATGTTTCTCACAAATGAATGAGTTTGTGACTAGAAAGTGGTCAGTGGGAGACATTTTTAGGTTCTCCTTCCACTTTTCAGCCAGCTCCCTTTCATTTGGAAAACTAAATAAACGAAGTACCCCACCGCTGATATTTTCACACCCGCGCACACAACACTTTCGGATTTTCGTCATTTTTCGGCACTTTTTAAAAATACTATTCAAAGATCACGTCTGCTCCGCACAAAATCACCAACTTTATGAAAATTTGCGCAATTATGGACACTTCAATTTAATGTAAAGTTTAAAACATATTTACATATGAATACATAATATATTTGATTTTGGCGCAATTACCGATATTTCTAAATTTGCCCAATATATTAGTAGGAGAAGGATGGTTACTTTCATTTTTGAGTAAAGCTCAATACTCATTTACATATGCACTCCTATTCTGTGCACTTGACAAATTCACCATATTTATAATTTTTAACAATTTTAAATTTATCAATCATTTGGTATTCTGTGTCTGAAATAAAAAGCTCTTTCCTTTATAAGTTGTTAAGATGTCAAATGCTCTTGATAGTGCTCGTTATGAATTAAATATCTGATTGCGCATCTTATTGTGAAAATGGAAGATATTTTACTTTTGTTATTATTGTTAAACGAGGATGAAAATTGTAAGAATAGGAATCGCGCGCGGCATTTAAAATGTTTACGCGACGATAGCAATCCATTTTYTTTGAGCGAGAATACCTTTGTGCGAAATTTTCGATTAACTCGTGAAACTTGCCGCCGCCTAATTGATGAACTGGCCCCACATGATAATCAGAAAACGTCACTATCTTTAACTGTAAGGGTTCTAGCAGCTTTGAACTTCTTTGGACAAGGCTCATACCAGAAATGTGTAGGTAACAACGTCAACTTGCCCATGCGTCAGTCGTCCCTTTCGAGAAGTGTGCGAGCTGTAGCAAAACTTATTGTGAAGCTGAAGGGAGGAGAAATAAAGTTTCCCAGTTCAAAAGAGSAAGAAACTTTTATAAAAACGGGGCAAGTGTTATTGTAATATAAATATATAATAAGCTAATTTAAGCTAATTTATTTGAAATATACTCCAGATTTTTTAGAAAATTTGGAATAAAAAGCACCATAGGCGCAATTGACTGCACGCATATTGCTATCATTGCTCCACCATCAAATAATATCGAACGTCCTCTTAATTTATATTTAAATAGAAAAGGATTCTACAGTATCAATGTTGAAGCAGTAAGTTTTGTTTTTGCATGCACATACATATATGTCAATGCAAATTTTGAATATATCGTTTTTTAGGTTTGCGATCACCTTTTATGTTTCACATTTGTAAATGCCAAATTTCCGGGTGCAACACATGACTCTGGAATTTGGACTACTTCTGACCTACGAGAACATCTCATTCGTCAGCATACTAATACATCTGAGCAACAACGGAGAGAATCTTGGCTTCTTGGCGATCAAAGTTATCCTCTAAAACCGTGGCTTCTAACACCAGTGGAACACTTAATACCCATAAAGAGCAAAAATACAACAAATTACATGGTTCTGCAAGAAACTGCATAGAGAGAGCATTTGGTGTTTTAAAATCTCGCTTCAGATGTTTGTTGAAGCACCGAGTTCTACATTATTCACACGAAACTTCCTCTTTGTTTGTTAGTACTTGCGTTATATTGCATAATATAATGACGAAAGCAGGCATTATGTTGAAGGAAATAGATGACGGGGTTGCAGAAGATTTTGATACTCCAATTAATGATTATAACTCTTCGCAATACATGCGCGAAGGTGAAAGAACAAGATCAAGATATATATCAACTCTTTAGTTATATGTATATATACAGACGCCAATCCATATATGTATGTACATATATAAGTATTCTCACAATTCGACTTTCGAAATACACTACTTACTTGCATTTTTTGTTTATTTATTTAAAAGAAAACAAATTCAAATTTGTATTTCATTTTTTTTTTGTWTTCAACAAMWAAAAAAAAAAAAAAACTTATATAATCCAAWAAATATTATTTAAATAAAAGTATTACGCATAAGTTAGTTTAAATTATACTTTAGAAATTAGTTTACATTATTAGTATACGATTTTATTAGCTCCGTTATAGAATTAGTTAGGCCTTGAATGGCCTGCATCATTTCACGATGCTCCCGTCGCCTCTCCTCTTCAGCAGCATTCCTTTTGGGAATGTCAGCTATTAAAGTTCTGATGAGCTTATTTCGCGCACTTCGTGCTAGCACAGAAGTTGAAGCATCCTTAAACGGAAAAACGTAATAAGAAATTACAAAAAAATTTATATATTTTGTAATTATATCATAATGAAAACTTACATGGTTTTCCAAGCTGAGATATGTAGTTGGTGTCGATGAACTTGCTGGATGGTGTTCGGGATTTGTGGTTGCTTCTACCTGTCTGCTTAATTGCAGAGGACTACCGGTGGGTGATGTATTTGCACATTCACATTTGTACATTTTGTATCCCATCTACAGCAGCCGAACCAAATGTAGACAAAGCCATTTCTTCAAAGTCCGTCATCGGCTTGGAAATTTGACCTCCACCTGTGAGCCTTTGATTCTTTTTCAAACGTCTTGCACGAGTGCGCAGTTGGCTTTTCCAAACGCCTAACGTCTACAAATTAACACAATATAATAAATATACGAAACATAAACTAAAATGTTACCTCTTTTCATTTTGCAGCACTTCGTATGGGTCCTCTGCACGAATTAAGCTCATCTGCCAGCTGCTGCAACAGCTCCTTCATTTGTTGAGGCGTTTTTGGGCAATTTTTCCCCGTACCCATTTCTGGGTGTGCTTGGCAAAATAAAACATATGCCTCCAGTTGCTCGTGTGTAGCTCTATCGTGTTTGAGTTTACTATTAAATAAATTTAAATTATAAATTTTGTTAATAAATAAAATTTGAAAACTTACGTTGCAGAACAGTCCATTTTAACGAATAATTTGAATAGCAATCAGCTGTTTTCTATTTACATTATTTTGTTCACCACATATGTGAGGAACAGCTTTACGAATTGAAGCTTTCACTTTTATCAAGATTGCCACAGAATACCAAAATATTTCTCGCTTGATAAATATTTGAGTTAATTTTCAATATTTTATTAATTTGTCAAGTGCACAGAATAGGGGTGATGATATATACAAAGAACATGTAAGAGAAGATGTTTGCAAGTTGCTTGGTATGTGATATATAAATATTTATTTGATTTTGGTGCAATTATTAACATTTGTCTTAATATACAAAATTGGGCCAATACGAAACAATGAAATACATAATTACTTTTACATGTCAATACGGAAATGCCGACAGCAAAACGCAGAACATACTTTGCACATACATACAAACGATTTCTTGGTTGAAAGCAAAAATTGGTGACAACACGAAATTCCTTATAGCACGTTCACATATAAGCAGGTTATGATTAACAAAAATTAACCTCGAAGCTAACCTTGTTGCGTTCACATATAGCAAAGATAACCCGACTAAATGAGGAAAATTGACAGCTGTATCCATTTGTGTTTTTTTTTTGTTTTCATATTTTCTTCTTGTAAAAAATAAGTTAATAAATGAGTAATGGATTCAAAATTGAAAAAAATTTTACTTTTGTTTGCTACAAACCAAGAAGAAAGCAATATATATCTAGCTGCATTAAATTCCTGTAGCCGAGAATATAAAGTTGCTATCCAACAACGTGAGCAGATACGTACGGATACGAAGAGCTCGAGTAATATCGATTTATTATGAAATATTAATGTTGACAACAATACCTCTTTGTAAGAAAATAAACCCAAGAAGTGTTTGGGCATACGTAAGTAAAAAAATCACAATAAATTATAAACACATTTAAATACATATACTTTAGAAGCGACATAGAAACTTTTGGAAAAAGGATGTTCAGTCAATGAACGACCGCGTTTTTAAGGAAACCTTTCGCATGAGCAGGGCAACCTTTGAAATATTGTGTGAATATGTCAAAGGTATTATCAAACAGGATTCATGCAATAGGAAGTGCATNGAATAATTTGAATAGCAATCAGCTGTTTTCTATTTACATTATTTTGTTCACCACATATGTGAGGAACAGCTTTACGAATTGAAGCTTTCACTTTTATCAAGATTGCCACAGAATACCAAAATATTTCTCGCTTGATAAATATTTGAGTTAATTTTCAATATTTTATTAATTTGTCAAGTGCACAGAATAGGGGTGATGATATATACAAAGAACATGTAAGAGAAGATGTTTGCAAGTTGCTTGGTATGTGATATATAAATATTTATTTGATTTTGGTGCAATTATTAACATTTGTCTTAATATACAAAATTGGGCCAATACGAAACAATGAAATACATAATTACTTTTACATGTCAATACGGAAATGCCGACAGCAAAACGCAGAACATACTTTGCACATACATACAAACGATTTCTTGGTTGAAAGCAAAAATTGGTGACAACACGAAATTCCTTATAGCACGTTCACATATAAGCAGGTTATGATTAACAAAAATTAACCTCGAAGCTAACCTTGTTGCGTTCACATATAGCAAAGATAACCCGACTAAATGAGGAAAATTGACAGCTGTATCCATTTGTGTTTTTTTTTTGTTTTCATATTTTCTTCTTGTAAAAAATAAGTTAATAAATGAGTAATGGATTCAAAATTGAAAAAAATTTTACTTTTGTTTGCTACAAACCAAGAAGAAAGCAATATATATCTAGCTGCATTAAATTCCTGTAGCCGAGAATATAAAGTTGCTATCCAACAACGTGAGCAGATACGTACGGATACGAAGAGCTCGAGTAATATCGATTTATTATGAAATATTAATGTTGACAACAATACCTCTTTGTAAGAAAATAAACCCAAGAAGTGTTTGGGCATACGTAAGTAAAAAAATCACAATAAATTATAAACACATTTAAATACATATACTTTAGAAGCGACATAGAAACTTTTGGAAAAAGGATGTTCAGTCAATGAACGACCGCGTTTTTAAGGAAACCTTTCGCATGAGCAGGGCAACCTTTGAAATATTGTGTGAATATGTCAAAGGTATTATCAAACAGGATTCATGCAATAGGAAGTGCATTATCAAACAGGATTCATGCAATAGGAAGTGCATCCCATTGCAGAAAAGGGTAGCTGCTGACGTCTACACATTAAAATCTTCGGCAGAGTATGAAACTATTGCACGACTTCTTGCCCATTGCAGAAAAGGGTAGCTGCTGACGTCTACACATTAAAATCTTCGGCAGAGTATGAAACTGTTGCACGACTTCTTGCCAAGAAGTGTGGCAATCATTGCGTCCCATTTATTTGACAGAACAATTGAGGAACAGTGGAAAAGTGGATGAGTGTGTTCATGGGTTGGAGAAGCTTGGAGAAGCTTGGCTTTCCGCAATGTCTTGGTGCCATAGACGTTTGCCACATTAAAGTTCGACCACCTGGGAAGGATTGCACGGACTACTACAATTATAAGGGGTGGTACTCCACAGTTTTATTTGCCCTTGTAGATTATAGGTTAGAGGTATAATGAATTTTCACTTGATAATTTCATTAATTTCTTTTTTATCCAGATATCGCTTCCTCTACATTAATGTTGGCTGCCCAGTAAGGTGGGTCGATTCCGGATCGGATTGCATCCTCAACCCCAACTCCGGCCTTGGAATTTCGGAAATTCGCCCAAAATCGTGAAATTGTCTACGCCTAAAATACGCATCTTATGGCAAAATGTACAAAACAAAAGTTATTTGTCACGTCATTTGCTACGGAAATGGTATATGTGATCATGGTCGTACGACGAACCGTTCCCAAGATACGAGCGAAAATGCGGCGCGCCACAGCGCAAGGTGAAAATCGGCTTGCGGCCACACTTCTTGACGTTGATTTCGCCGAGTGCTATCACTTCTATCACTTACATTCATTTTCTTGCGCTATACGACACGTTCGGACTGGTCTCCACATAAATATTTTTTCATCGA